GACGAGGAGGACGAGGAGCAGGAGGAGGAGGGGTATTTCTTGGCATGGGCCTCCTCTGTAACTTAGGTCACCCGGTCTCGCCCGTGGCGCACCGCGATGCGCGACGCGCGGCCACCTTCGCCCCCCCGCGCCGCCCCCGCGGAGACGGGCAGCTCTCGGGCCCAGACCGCGGACGCGCGACCACCTCCGCGCCCCCCGCAAGTGAAGGGACCCTGAGACACACAAATGAATATACACAAATCAAAGGATTCCCCATAGTTTCCCACATTTCCTGGGTTTCTGTCTTCCCGCCCAATTCCCATATTTTCCGATATCTTCTTGGGACTCGACGATTCATTGTGTCTGTGTGTTTTTTCCCCTCCTGAGCAAGGGCGACCTGCAGCGAGAATCACCTGCGCATCCAGCGTCCTCTACGAATCCGTTCTGCTTCTGTCCCCCCCCCCGCGATCTCCTGTGTGACCGTTTCTCTTGTTCCTTTCGCGGGCAACGGTCGTTACTGGGGGGGGGATCGGGCGGGAGCGAATCATCTGGGTATCCAATGTCCTATCCGAAGCACTCTCCGTTTGGCTTTTGTCTCCCGCCCCTCAACGATCTGCTACTGCAGGTTCGTGTCGTGACGACCACGGTATTGATTTCTGACACCGCGGGGATCATTCAACCTTGAACGATCGGCCGTTCCCGAAATGTCAGGTCGTTCAACATCGACCGATTCTGGGTCGCTGGCGGCGTTCAATGTTGAACGCCGGCGGCGGGGTCGCCGCCAATCGACATGACGCGAACCTGCCGTCTGTGACCATGTTTTTCACTGGGGGCGGGTCGGGAGGGAAAATAATGGTAACGGCGGCCGCGGCGTGCACCCGCCAGGGTGCTTCCGCGCCCCCCGCGCATGAATCGCGTATGTGCACCACAGCATGTAGGGGGGGGATCCAAGTCCGACTCCCCAATACGATCGTTAGCGTTACCCCGGAGGGGGGGACCGAGTAACGAACGTTACCCTGGAGAGCAAACATGATCGACCCATGAACCCGGAGAAAGATATAGACATGTGAAACGTGGATACTTTCCGAGACACCACACACATGCAATGCTCAACGTAACACTGGTGATGTACTGTGTCAGGGGCCGTCTTGTGCTGTGCTGTGGTGAATTTAAATGTGTTATGCCTCCTTGAACTGTGCTGTGCTCTGCGTCGTGGATCAGGACGTTCTTGGCTGACCGAACTGATCTCCACCTTAACTTCGAACTGCCTGGAAGCATGTCTCGAGCTGGTCGCAATCGAACCGCGTGGGCGCTCGACCAGCTCGAGCTCGAGATCTGATTGAACCAAGAGGGGCGACTCCGAACCGACGCGAAACGCACCGAGAGTGGACGGACCAAAGCTCGGCGAACCAAAACGCCACGAAATGTACCAAGACGAATCGAAACGATACGAAGCGAGACGAAGGCCGAAATGACCCGAATGGAAGCGAGACAAGACAAACCAAGACGAATACGCTTCGGCTCACCGTCCTGAAGCTGCATGGCGTCGCCTGACGAAGGAGCCGCACTCCGAGGTGAGAACGCCCCTCGCAATTAACCAGGGCCGCGATTTGGCGCAACTTGTTCTTAAGACGTGCTGAACTGCACTGTGCTGCGCCTGTTGACCTTTGCTGTTCTGTTTTGCGTTGTGGATCAATCCACCCTTGGCACCTCAATCCTGTCCGAACTGATCTGGGTCGTGCTCCAACTGCCTACGCGCATGGTTCGCCCAAAAATGGCTGCAGTCGTAACATGCGGGGCGTTCAAGCAACTCGAACTTTAGATCGGTCTCAATTCCGCCATGGGATGAACCGATCGGGGGGCGAATCCGAACCGAAACCAAACGCACCCAAACGACGACAAGGCCCCCGCACGACACCTCCTCAAAAAATGCAACACCAGCGTTTCGCTCGAGACATCCTCAACACATCTTGCAGAGGGATGCTTTCGCTGTAGGCGAGGCCCTCGCTCGAGACATTCTCAACACATCCTGCATAATGAGCGTTTCGCTCTAGACATCCCTAACACATTCTCATGTTAATGATTCGCCTTGGCGACCTGGACACTTGAAAACAAAACATTGCCGCTCGAGACATCCTCACCGCATCCTCATGTTAAGGATCCACCTAGGCGACCTGGAAAAAACGTGAAAACACGTGGGCCCCTTTCGCCCCTGAGCGGAACACTCGTGAAAACACGTGGGTGCCTTTTGCCCCAGAGCGGAACAAACGTGAAAACACGTGGGCTTTCGCGCCAGAGCGGAACAAGCATGACAACACGTGTGTCCCTGTCGCCACAGAGCGGAACAAACGTGTAAACATGTAAGTTCCTTTTGCCCCAAAGCGGGACAAGCGTGAAAGCACGTGGGTCCCTTTCGCCCGAGAGCGGAACAAGCGCGAAAGCACGTGGGTCTCTTTCGCGCCAGAGCGGAAAAAGAACAAGCGTGAAAACACGTGGGCCCCTTTTCGCCCCTGAGCGGAACCATCGTGAACACACGTGGGTGCCTTTTGCCCCGGAACGGAACACAAGTGAAACCACATGGCTTCAGCTCGGGACAACCATATTCGATATCGCTCTGGGTGGCCTCGACACGTAAAAACACTTGTTCACAGCGAGGAGTTTCTAATATTCCCCTCTGCGTGACCTGGGCATGTGAAAGCACGTGGTTCCAGCGAGGGGCAACTGGCAACCATCTTAGACACCCCCCTGGGTGGCCTGGCCTGGACACGTGAAATCACGTGGCTCCATCAGGATAAAGACAAGCATGTTAGATACCCGCCTTGGCGACCTGGGCATGTGAAGACAAACGTTTCGCCTGAGACGTCACCTGGATTCTGGTCCGCGCTCGAGACATCCCCAAACTCTGTAAAACCAGCGTCTCGCTCGAAGCATCCTAAACACATCTTCATGTCAGACATCTGCCTGGGCGACCTGGAAACGTGAAACCAAGCGTCTCGCTCAAGACTCTCAACACCTCCTCTTGCTAGTCATCAGCATGGGCAACCTGGACGCGTGAAACCAAACTGTTCACTCGCGACATCATGCCCACATCCTCATGTTAGACACCTGCCTTGGCGACCTGGACACGTGAAAACAAGCGTTGCGCTCAACACATTTTCATGTTAGACATCCACCTGGGCGACCTGGACTTGTGAGAATAAACGTTTCGCCCGAAACATTCTCAACACTTCCTCATGCTAGACATCCGCCTGGGCGACCTGGGCACGGGAAAACAAGCGCCTCTCCCAAGACATCCTCAATACATCCTCGTGCTAGACATCCGCCTGGGCGACCTGGACACGTGAAAACAAGCGCCTCTCTCAAGACACCCTCAACACATCCTCATGCTAGACATCCGCCTGGGCGACCTGGACACGTGACAACAAGCGTCTCTCTCTCGAGACATCCTCAACACATCCTCATGCTAGACATCCGCCTGGGCGACCTGGGCACGGGGAAACAAGCGCCTCTCCCAAGACATCCTCAACACATCCTCGTGCTCGACATCCGCCTGGGCGACCTGGACACGTGAAAACAAGCGCCTCTCTCAAGACATCCTCACCACATCCTCATGCTAGACATCCGCCTGGGCGACCTGGACACGTGAAAACAAACGCCTCTCTCAAGACATCCCCAACAAATCCTCGTGCTAGACATCCGCCTGGGCGACCTGGACACGTGAAAACAAGCGCCTCTCTCAAGACATCCCCAACAAATCCTCATGCTAGACATCCGCCTGGGCGACCCTCTCTTTGGATTCCACTACGCAAGGGAGGAGGGGAGTGTTTCACCCCCCGCCCCACCCGCTCACACGCCGCCAGCAACTGACAACGGCAAGCGTCGAAGCCAAACGACGGCGATGCAGACGAGCGCCGGCGCCGAACGCCAGGTTCGAACCAGCTCGCTCCCCCCTCCGCGGAATGCAAAGGGAAAAAGGAGGGGGTTCGAACCCACCCCCCGCTCCCCGGAATCCTCAAGAGAGGACAATCGATCGGAAACCCCACATGTATATAGAGAAAGCTCATCAGATAGGAAATCCTATCTGTTGGAAACCCAATAGATTGGAAACCTTGGTAACCAAATCTGCTGGAACCACAGTATATTGGACACCACATACATTGGGTCTCCAATATAATTTGGTTTCTCATGTAATGCGTTTCCAATGTCTGCCGCTCGGGAGGTCGTAACATCAGTCAGAGCAAAAAACCATCCTCTGGCCGATTGGCGACAAATGCCGCGCCGATGTCCATGTGGTTGTCCCGAAGAAGTCCCGCGGCTTTCCCGTCGGTTGTCTCGACGGCTGTCCCGTTGGTTGTCCTGATGGCTGTCCCGACGGTTGTCCCGATATTTGTCCCGACGGTTGTCCAATGGTTGTCCCGTTGGTTGTCCCGGAAGTTGTCACCATGGTTGTCCCGATGGTTGTCTCGATGCTTGTCCCGATGGTTATCCCGATGGTTGTCCCGATGGTTGTCCCGATGGTTGTCCCGATGGCTGTCCCGATGGGTGACCGGATGGTTGTCCGGATGTTTGTCCCGATGAATGTCCCAATAAGTGTCCCGATGGTTGTCCCGATGGTTGTCCCGATGGTTGTTCCGATGGGTGTCCCGATGGGTGTCCGGATGGTTGTCCCGATGAATGTCCCAATAACTGTCCTGATGGCTGTCCCGATATCCCGTTGATTGTCCGATGTTTTCCCGATGGTTGTCCTGGCGGTTGTCCCGATGATGGTCCCGATGGCTGTCCTGATGGTTGTCCCGATGGTTGTCCCGATGGTTACCCGGATAGTGCAATCTTCGTCCTTCCTGTCGTCCTCGTCCTCGTCCTCGTCTTGCTCCTCCCTGGTCCTCCTCCTCCTCCGCCTCCTCCTCCTCCTCCTTCTCATCCTCCTTCTCCCCGCCCATCGTTGATGTACTGCTCTCTTCTCGAAGGGCACACTCGGGCGAAGCAGGAGTTTTGGCTGCAAGGCATGCGGGATGCGGGGCCTCCCTTGCCTGGCGGCGTCGTGCGACATGATCTCGGAGAAGAAGAGCAGCGTCGAGCAGAGCAGCGCCACCAGCAGCAGCAGAGCGAACATGTCCTGCTCACCGCCGCCGCCCCCGTTGACCGTGCCGGCGGTGATTACCGCCTGCATGGGAGGGCGCTGGAATCGTACAGTCGGGGCGTTGACCTAAGGAACCCTACATAAGGAACGAGGCCCCTTCTTCCCATCAGATAAACTTCGATTTCCCAAGGAAAACCTCCGGAAAACAGAAGGCAAACTGCAGCCCAATCAAGGAAAACCGAGCCCCTCCCCAACGATAAGGGTTCCTTCTTCGGCGCCCCGACTGTAGTGGAATCGCTGCCCACCATCAGATGACACACACACACACGTATAACAATAATTCAGCTGAGGGCGAACAGTAAGAGCAATGGTGTGGTGAACATCAATCATGCAAAGGATCTTTGGCAACCGCAAGCGGTGGTTACCCAGGGACGCCTACCCAGGGGGAGCTTGGGGACTACGAGTTAGAAGCTGTGGCAGAGGATGGGGCTCAATCCATATCATCAGCCCGACTGTCTGCGGCTGGCTGGGAGCGTGCTACACACGTGCACAATACAAACATGTCAAAGCCTGGTGCATGATTTGCTGGCCCAACGGGCCAGAGGCGTGCTCAGATCTCTGGTAACGAATTTAGAATATCTCCAGTTCGCGCGCGCAGGGCCACCCCCGGGGGCCCCGGGGCGAAAAATACCCTGGGAGATGTCTGGCAAAGTCCCCTCAAACATGGTTTGCTCCTGGGTGCGGCCTTCCAGACACCTAGGGCGCTCCAGGACTGCTCCAAAGTACCTCCAAGAGAGTTCCGGATGGTCCGAGACGCCCCAAGGGCACGCAAAGACGCCCAAGATCAACTTTGGATAGCCCGAGACGCCTCCGAAACGCCTGAAGAGAGCCCCAAGAGGACCCCCAAGAAGGCCCCGAGGGGCAACAATCTATGATTCTTCTTAGGTAATCGGAAATCGTTTGCGCTATCGCCTCTTCGTGCTTCCGACCACCAAAAGCAGCCCAGAAGGCCTCCTTAATAATTATCGCTCCACGACAACCCTCGAGGGCCCGAACACGGCCCAAGGGGCCCCCCGCAGGGGGCTCCAGAGCCCCCGAAGAGGACCTCAGAAGACTGCCCCCGAGACCGCCAGCAGGCCCGCTGGCGAGGGCTCGCCGCCGCGCGAGGCATTCCCAGACATTCTCAAACCTCCGACGTCTCGTTTTTTTTTGTTTTGTTTTCTCTCTCCCCTCCAGGGCAAGGCCTGCATCGCCGGGTCCCGCCAGGCTTCGCCGTCCTCGCTCTGCTCGCCGCCGCTGCACACGCCGTCCTGCGCTTGCCCCGCGCGGGCAAGGGAAGCCCAGGACCCCGCCAAGAGGGCTCCGGAGCCGGCTCTCGCCAAACGGACCGCCTCGCGGACCGAGAGCCGAGAAACCAGGAGCGGAGGCGAACGTCTCCCCCCCTCCTCCTTCTCCCGCTTCTCCTCTTTCTCCCCCCTCACGCCTCCTCCCCCTCCCCCTCCCCGTCCTCCTCCTCCTGCTTTTCGTCCTCCTCCTCCTTTTCGTCGTCCTCCTCCTCCTCCCTCATTTTCCTCCTCCTCTCCTCGTCTTCTCCTCGCCTTCCTCTCCTCCTCGTCCTCCTCCTCCTCGTCCTCCTCGTCCTCCTCCTCCTTTTCTTCTTACTCCTCGTGCTCCTCTTCCTCCTCCTTCCTCCTCCCTTCCTCCTCCCTTCCTCCTCCCTTCCTCCTCCTCCTCCTCCTCCTCCTCCTCCTCCTCCTCCTCCTCCTCCTCCTCCCCCTCCTCCCCTCCTCAGACTTCGCTCTGCCCTGTGGCAGGCATCCTGCACCTGCCATCGCTGCTCGTCACTCCCCGTCCTCCTTCCGCCGTGCTCTTTCTGCGGGTGCCCGCCTCCGCCGTCCTCTCTCTGCTGGCGCCCCTCCAGCGCAGTCTCTCCTCCTTTGTCCTCCATTCCCCTCCTTCTTCCCGTTTCTCGGCGGCGAGCCAGGGGGGAAGTGAGAAAGGGCGGGCCTTCTCAGAAGGCTCGGAAGTCCCCCCGGCCTGCGGCGAAGTTTTCGATGCCTTCCCCGAAGACTCAGAAAGCGTCTCAGGAGGCGCGGGGGCTTCTGGGAAGGCCCGCCGCCTTCTGAGAAGGCGTTCTCCTTATTACGTGTCCCATCGCTCGCCGCCGACCTTCCCCCCTCCCCCCAGGGGAGGGAAGGAAGTGGAGGAAGGAGGAGAAAGGAGGCGGAGGAGGAAAAATATGAGTGACGAGGGCGGAGGAAGGAGGAGGAGAAACCGTGAGGAGCTCCTCCTCCCCCCTCGGCTGGCATGCGGCATCCGAAATTCTGTGCACCACCGCATCTCTGACTGTCATCTCCCTTGGGTGGCGCTCTCAATTCCAAGTGTGCGTCTCCACCAGGAGGGCCACGACATGGAGAAACGCGCCAATGAGGGGGTCGAACGAAGGGGGGGGGGAACTGACTTACAGTCGAACCTTTGCCAAAATAACACCCTCCAAGAACATGAGACCCTCCGTTGGCCAAAACAAACAACATATCCAAGGGTACCCAATAATATCCGGCAAACACCAAGAACGGTAGGGTATCCTCCCCGAACCGACCTCGATCTTATAGACCTTATAGCTAGGTCCGACCGTAAAGGGGAAGCAATGACCGGCAATCGGAGATGCGTCGCCGACCTATTAGCGACAGGCCCCAGAGGCCCCGATGGTCGATGGATGGGGGAGGAGGAGGAGGAGGAGGAGGAGGAGGAGGAGGAGGAGGAGGAGGAGGAGGACGAAGGACAAAGGACGAACACGTTTGGGAACGACTCCGAGCAAGCAAGAGAACTGGCCTGGAGAGCATCTGGATTCCTCGGTGGTATTGTGTTCGCAGGCCTCGTTAGAGGACCTGTTCAAGACCTAGATGGCCTGAAGGGAGAAGGCGAACCAGGGCTCTATTAGCAGGGACGTGCCCTGTCTGGCACCAGGCGGTGCGGAGCCTATGGACAGGCAACGGCGTGTCCACGGCACAGAGGGCAAGGAGGAGGAGGAGGAGGAAAGGGAGGCGGAAAGGGAGGAGGAGGAGGAGGAGGAGGAGGAGGAGGAGGAACAGGAGGAGGAGGAGGAGGAGGAGGAAGAGGAGGAAGAGGAGGAGGAGGCGGAGAGGAAGGAGGGGGAGGAGGAGCCAGATGGGGGGCCGATGTTTTTTGCCTCTGTGCCCCGGGGCCAAGGTCGGGGAGACGTACGACGCGGGTTCGGGGGACTCGGGTCAGCCCGACGGGGGCATCCTCAAAATGACGAGACCCAATTTGAGATTTGACGAGAGCTCCCGCCGCAAACATCCCACGAACAACTGGACCGCCAAAATCCAGCACGTGCTCGTCTCAAAGCTTCGGCAAAGGGCGTGGTTTTGCAACTGGCGCGCTGGGGGGCACCCCGGGGGGGGGCGGGGACCCCGACCGAGCTCTCCGCCGTGCCCGGAGGCGGCCCGACGAGGACGGTGGCGTGCCCCTCCAGGTCCCAACGGCGCCGATCGCAAACCACACCCCAGCGTAACCTTATGTCGGGCGTGTCCCCCTACAGGGGGAGTTCCGACGAAAAATAGAAAACACCTAAAACACACCCCAAAAGGCCAAAAAACGATTCAAACAATAGTCCCCAGACTATTTTTGGAGTATTTTTGGACTATTCTGGTGTATTTTTTTATTTATCGTCGAAAATCCCCCTGTAGGGGGACATGCCCGACTTAAGCGTAACCTCACCCTTTCGCAGTCGCCGAGCGGGGCCCGCTCCCCCCGCGGGGATCTTCTGACCCGGGTCCATCCAGACCCGGGTCAGCAGGAAATCAACAACTGCAACGCAGGAAAAAAACAACAACTGCAACGCAGGTCCTCGCAAACCCGGGTCGGCCAAGAGGCGCGGCCGCCTCGCGGCCACGAGCGGCTCCCTAACCCGGGTCAGCCAGAGGGGGTCTTCGCAGGATCCTGCAGCAACGGTTTTAGCAGCAACGGTTTTAGCAGCCCTCGCCCAGCTTTCGATCCTCCTCCTCCTCCTCCTCCTCCTCCTCCCCTCCCCCTCCCCCCTCCCCCTCCCCCTCCCCCTCCCCCTCCCCTCCCCCTCCCCCTCCCCCTCCCCCTCCCCCTCCCCCTCCCCTCCTCCCTCACCTCCTCCTCCTCCTCCTCCTCCTCCTCCTCCTCTCCTCCTCCTCCTCCTCCTCCCCCCTCCCCCTCCCCCTCCCCTCCTCCCCCTCCTCCTCAACCCTCCTCCTCCTCCTCCTGCCTCCTCCTCCTCCTCCTCCTCCTCCTCCTCCTCCTCCTCCTCCTCCTCCTCCTCCTCCTCCTCCTCTCCCTCCTCCTCCCCTCCCCCTCCCCCTTCCCCCTCCTCCTCTTCCTCCTCCTCCTCCTCCTCCAACTCCTCCTCCTCCTCCTCCTCCTCCTCCTCCTCCTCCTCTCCTCCTCCTCCTCCTCCCTCCTCCTTCCCCTCCTCCTCCTCCTCCTCCTCCTCCTCCTCCTCTTTCTCCTCCCCTCCCCCTCCTCCCCCTGTTGACCCCCCGTCTCTTGAGCACCGACCCCGGAGGAGGAGGAGGAGGAGGAGGAGGAGGAGAGGAGGAAGGGGAGGAGGAGGGAGGGGAGGAGGAGGCCGGGAGGGGGAGGGGAGGAGGAGGATGAGGAGGAGGAGGAGGAGGAGGAGGAGAGGAGGAGGAGGAGAGGAGGAGAAGGAAAGGAGAGGAGGAGGAGGAGGAGGAGGAGGGGGAAGGGAGGAGGAGGAGGAGAGGAGGAGGAGGAGGAGGAGGAGGAGGAGGAGGAGGAGGAGGAGAGGAGGGGGGGGAGGAGGAGGAGGAGGAGGAGGAGGAGGAGGAGGAGGGGAGGAGGCGCCCCCCCCCCCCCCTCCCCCAAACGGGCGAGCCCCCCGCCCCCCCGCGGGGGCGCTCGGGCGCGGCTCCTCCGCCGCGGGGGCGGCGGGGCGCCCCAGGCCGCGCAGGCACGCCGCGCGCCAGAGGCCCTCGGCGGGCGCGCCCCGCGTCGGCGCCGTCGTCGTCGTCGTCGTCGTCGTCGTCGTCGTCGTCGTCGTCGTCGTCGTCGTCGTCGTCGTCGTCGTCGTGGTCGTGGTCGATGTCGTGGTCGTGGTCGTCGTCGTCGTGGTCGTCGTCGTCGTCGTCGCTGCCCGTCCTCGTCAAAACCGGGGTCGCCACGAGACCTAGTGAATCAAGCGCGGGCGAAGGTAAACTGGGCGAACTTGAACCCGGGGGAATCTAAACTGGAAATGCACTCGGGCAAAACAAGGCAAAATCCCTGGAGGTCCCCGTAGGCCTCTGGGCGTCCTCGAACCTCGATCTTCTACAGTCGAGACCTGGCCACAAGAACGCGGGTCAAGAACACTAGCCCCTAAGCCGATGGCCTGGGGCCCCATGGTGATGCCCCAGAGCGAAGAGCATTCGAGGGTGGGTAGCCCGAAGCACGAATAGAAGACTGCTGGGCCGAGGGCGGAATAACATCCTCCAAGAACATGAGACCCTCCGCCGGCCAAACTGAAGCACATTCGAGGGCACCCTGCCCCAGGATGCACAAGAACACCCAACAAGCACGATGAATATGAGGGTACCCTCCGCGAGCCGACCTCCATCTTGCACCTGGGTCCGACCATCGCACACCTGCCCGTACCGCTCCAGGGCCAGGATTGCTCTGAACACCCCTTGCCAGCTGCCAGCGGGCCCGAGGCATGTGCGCGGACGAGGGAGGGGCACAAAGCGGATGCATTGCAAGGATGGGGGGAGGCCACAGCATCCCGGGAGCTGTCATGGCCCCGGCCGTGGACGGCGAAGACGACGGAGACGACGCAGAGCAACCAGCCTGCAGCGTATCTGCCTGACCAGGCGTGGCACGTAGTACTTGAACCGCCGGCGCATGCTCGCCTCCCCTCGCTGCTGGCCGCAAGACGGCCGCGCGGAGGCGACCCCCCACGCGTCCCGTCGGGGGGCACAGCCCGGGCGGCCCTCGGCGCGTCCTGCCACGGCCACGGCCTTCTGGAGAGGGGCCCTCCTCCCCACCTCGATCCTCCAAGATGGAGAATCGGCCGCAGACCTCTCACAACCGACTCGGGGAACGCATGGTCCGATAGCTTGGCGAAGCTCTAGCCCAGCTGTCGGACACATAGGCGCTTCCAAAAGGGCAGGGGGCGGCGGTCATTCGCCGTAGGCGTCTTCGATCCGCCGCCCCGTGTTGGCTTGCCACAGGGGTGCCCGGCGTGCTAGACCCTTTCGATTTTGGTAACAACAAAAAAACTCTCTGGGGCTTCGGCCCATCCCGCCGGCCACCAGAAAGGCCGCACAAGGCAGCATAAACCACCCCAACGTCCACAAACAATTCTCCAAGACGGCTCAAGATGGCCTCTAAGATGGTCACGTTGGCCCAAGATGGCCTCCAAGATGGAACAACATGTTCCAAGATGACCTCCAGGACGGCCCAAGAGGGTCCAAGAAGCAAGAAGCCTCCAAGTTCGCACACGAAACCTCTAAGACGGACCAAGACGGCCCCAAAGGCCTCCAAGAGGCCTCCAAGACGACCCAATAGGCCTCTAAGAAGTCCTCCACGAAGGCCCGAAAAGACCAACATGAATGGTTTTCCTTCGGTTCTTGAAGGATTTTTGGCTTTTGCTATTTTCCAGCCGTCCGACGGCCCACGATGGCTCAAGACGGCCGAAAGATCGGCCCCAGAGCACCCAAGAGGCCTCCAAGATGGCCCTATGACGGCCCAAGAGGCCTCCAAGACGGTCCCAACGAAGAGGCCAACATCATTGATTTTCCGTTGGTTTTTGAAGGATTTGGCAGTTTCTTCTTTTCAGCTCTCCGACGGCCCAAGACGGCCCAAGAGGCCCCCAACATCGCCCCAAGAGCGCCCAAGAGGCCTTCAAGATGGCCCCATGACAGGCCAAGAGGCCCCCAAGAGGGCCCCAACAAGACCCCAAGACGGCCCAAGAGGCTCCTAAGACGCCCAAGATGGCCTCCAAGACGGCCAAGATGACCTCCAAGATGCATCGACGACGGCCCAGAAGGCATCCAAGACGGCGAAGACGGCCCCAAGATGCACCCAAGACGGTCCCAGATGGCCAGAAGGTGGCCTTAGACTGCCCAAAAAGCCCGCCAGAGGCCTCCAAGATGACCCCCCAAGACCCCTCCAACAAGACGTCCTCCAGGAGGTCCGAAAGCTCGGAAACCACCTGGTCCGATAGCTCGCCCGACTCCGTGTTCCCCAAAGGCTTTCGAAACCCACTCGGGGAACGCGTGGCCCGATAGCTTGGCCAAACTCAAACCCAACTTCCGGCCACGCAGGCGCTTCCAAAAGGCAGGGGGCGGTGGTAATTCGCCGTAATGATTCCTATCCGCCCTCGCATGATGTTCCCAGATGCGCCAAGGCAGCGCCGAGACGCACCCACGCGACTCTGATATATCCCATTCTGAGAGAGAGGAGGGCCTGCGGCAGGGGGCGAAGCCATTTCGGATATATTCGTATGTTGTGTTATATATGAACGTATGAAAACAATACGTTAACTTGCGAGCATCGGCTCGTCGCCTGGTATCAACCTGGGAAATTCTGTATCATCCTTGGATATAGGTTCTGGCTGGCACGGAAGCAGTGTCGAGGATAATCAAACACTTGGGACAGACCCGATAAGCCATCTACATATGTATGCTGCCCAAACAATTTTGAAATGCTCCTGCACGATAATGCCAGACACACATTGGCATGTACGAGCGCGAGTGCGCAACAGGTACACATAACGTCTGCGCTATGATGCTTTGTTTGTCAATTGCCTGCGGTATCCAATCGCCGATTGCCTGGGGGAAACTGCAACCTGTAGTGCACCAGTCTGAGTGCAGCTCGAATGCCACAACAGATCGTGCACATATGCTCGCAACTCATACTGTGAACGCCAAGCTCTCCCAATCATCAAGCCCACCCCACCTGCATTGATCCTAAGACTCAATGCCGGCTGGTTGTCCAAGATCTCGATCTGGCTCTCCGGGTCCTGACTATCCTGTACAGGATGCGGCTGATCCCAGCACTCGACACATTGAAGTGCAACTGGCGCGCACACACAGGCACAACACACAAGCACACGTACATTTTTTCCCGTCGGCGGCGAAGAAGAGCCAGTCCGCTCCAGCGTGTGGCTGTTCGGAGCAAACAAAAAGAACAAATGTACGACATGCACGAGGAAGGACACAAGACGAGGGCGGCCGCGCGGTGGGAGGAGAAGGAAGCGCTCAGAGGTGGAAGAGTTCCGCGTAAGCAGGCCGGAGCGGCCCGCCGAGGGGGGACCGTGGCAGCAGCCGGGGCCGAGGCCAGGGCGCACAAGCATACGTTTTTTTATCGGCGGCGGGAGGCGAGAACGGCGCAGCCGCCGAGGGTCGGCGAGTGAGCACCGCGCGGGCGGCCTCGAGCCCTGCAAGCACGCGCGCACGCACGCACACGCGCAGGCACGCAGACAGACAGCCTGGCCCCCCCCCTCGTCACAAACCCGTGCACCGTACCATCCCTGGGTCGAGAGATCGACGACGCCGCGGGAGACGCCAACACTGTACGTTACACGTCTCCCTCGAGGATGACGACGCCTCTAGCGGAACGAAATACACTACACGGGACCATCATTTCTTGGAGGACCGCACGGACTTCTTTTATCGGCGCAGGATCCCCTTCCCTGGCGCGCGGAGCGCGCCAAGAGCGGCGCCGGAAGCGTCGCCAGGGGGGCCCAGCGCCGATCCGAGAAATCTGCGCGGACCTCATAGAAATGATGTTTATGTCGCTTTCTGTTCTTCGAATCTCGGGAGGCGCCTATGAGGGGCCAACGATAGGAGGGGACTGGCGTGGGGGGGAAACATCGACCTGGAATCGGTGACGCATCGCCGATAAATCGGCGATCGGCCCCCGATGGCTAAAACGCACGTTCCTGGGCAGGCTAGGGCTATGGGGCCCCTATCGGCGATCAATGGGCGATTGGGGGTCGATGCATCCCCCCCTATGCCTACCCCCAACACCTATCGCTGCCCCTGACCCCCCCGCAGAGGGGGTCTTTCGTAATGGGGTCGCTAACAAAGATGAGTGGCTTGAACGACGTTCGCATCGTGCTCGAACGATTGCACGCACTATTCTGCCAACGGTTCTGCACAGGATTGATTTCGGGACGCTCGAGGAAATACTAGTATTATGTGTCCTCCTTGGAGGCGTGCGCCCGACCCAAACATTTAGTACAACCATCTTGTCGCATGTTTCCCGAGCGAAACGGCCAGAAAGCGCCCGCCACGACGCATCTCTCTCTCTCTCTCTCTCTCTCTCTCTCTAATTATATATATGTATATTTATATACACGTACACACGCTATAAGATTTCTCGGTGCGCGCGTCGCCCCTAAGGGGGGCGACGCACACATAGTACTACAGTCGACCCGTATCATAAGGACGCGCGAAAGTATGTAAGGGCCTTGGAAGGCAGTTTCGAAGCTTTTCGAGCGGGGCGCGGCCAACGAAAGTGGCCCAGGATGGACCGAGGAGGCAAGGATGCAAGGGCAACTACCCTTGGGAAATTTGCCCGTCCTTACTATGCGGGCTGATTCTTATATGTTGGGGTGACGCCGACATTGCCCATCCGCCGGCATGACCCATCCTTGGGAGGGTGCCACGGCGTCGCCGAGCCACTGGAGCCATCAGGGCCACTGCCTCGGGGTCTGTGCGCCAGGGCTCTTTGGCAACCCGAAGCCTTACCAATCGAGGTCGAGACCCAGCTCGCCACCGAAAAGGACCTATTAATTTTTAAGGGTCTGTAGACCCCCCCAACAGTGGAAACTTACTATCTTTTCGACGTCCTTATTGACGGACAACAGGTCCCACCAATCATGGAAAGTTCGACGCCCCAACGGACCAGAGGCGCCTAAAATCTCCGGTGAGAGTTCGAGGATGTTTCTAGCTCGCGCGCGCGTGGCGGCCTTTGGGGGTCCCTAGACGAAAATCGGGTGTTACTGGAAGTGCCCCTGGGTCCCTGGCCAAAGGTATCCCCAGGATTCTCGGGGCGGCCCGAACGGCCTCCAGAGCACCCCTCACGAGGCCCAGAGGGCCCCAGGGTCTCCCAAATGGAGCGAAACGCTGGGGGCACCTTGGGCCAGGGGCTCTTCTATCAGCGAGCGAAGAACGGTATAAAAGAAACTTTCCGCCGTCGGGGACACCTGCCCCATGGGCGGCTGGAAAGTTTATGCCCCTACGGTGCCACCGTAAGGGTATAAACTTTCCACCCACGATAATTCTAGCAACGCCCGAGGAAAGCACCTCGGCAAGTCCGGCCAGACACGCCGGAACTTCTGGTCTCGGCCTCGGGGGCCCCCCGAGCGCGCCCCCGGTGAGGCGCCCAAAGGGTCTGGCGCGCCCCGGCCGAGGGCGTCCCAAGAGGGCCCACGCTGGTCCCAGGGCGACGCACGAGGCGCCCGAGAAGCTCCAGGAGGGCTCCAAGAGGACGTCGAGAGACCCCGAAGACCAGAAGCCGAGCGCAGGCTGGCAAACCCGTGGCTGCTAAAGCAGAGCTCCGGGAGAGTGCTATTTCTCCTCCCGGGAAGCAGCCCACTTCAACTAGCAAGGCGCTGAGATCTATCCCGGGATTTTATTTTTTTTCCTCCGGGAAGACAGCTTTAGCAGCTACGGATTTGCCAGCCCTCGCCCACCTTCCGAGAAGACGCAATCATTGGTTTCGCTCCGGTTTTCGGACGATTTTTGGACGAGCGCGTTCCGCTGCTTGCAAAATAGCTGCTCGCAAATGGCCTGGATCCGCCGCGGGGGACCTACCATAAATTACATCGAGGCAGACGTGTGCTTGTCGGACTTTTGCGAGCAGGCACTTTGCGAGTCGTGGAGCGCGCTCGGTGAACTTTGGCGGTCCTGCCTCTTCGAGCTGCCGGCCGCCGTGGACGGCCCACGAGGACCCACGCTCGCTCCGAGATGGCCCAAACGAGCCTCCAAGAGAGCCCCCACAGGGCCCGAAAGGGCCCGCAGGCGTCCAACACGGCCCCAGGATGGCCCCAAGGAGGGGGCCCAGAGGGAGAACCCGAGCAGACATTTCGAGCTCAAGGAAGCCCCCAGAGCCCCCAACAAGAGGCCCCCAAGAAGTCCCCAAGAGGCTCCCCAGAAGCCTTTAAACTTCTCCCCAGCGGCTCCCGAGATCCCTCTGATGAGATCCCGAGAAGCATCCACGAGGTCTCTGACCCACAACCCGGGTACGTCTCGAAACTCAGCTGGAGCTCTCTTGAGCCATCTTGGCGCCCTCTGGGGCAATCCATCGGCTCTCGTCGACAAGGTGCGAACCACATCTCCAAAGATCTCCTCGACGACAATCCTGCCTGCCCTACCGTTCTCCATGGGTACGAGCACACCACCGCGCAGCCACCATGATGCGAAATAGGCCGGCAGAATGAGCGAATCGATCAAATAATTGTTTATCCGCAGCACCCGCCGCACAATAACGACAGCGACGACGACGACGACGACGACGAGGACGACGACTACGAGGAGGATGAGGATGAGGATGAGGATGACAAATAGGATGAGGATGAGGAGGAGCAGGCGGAGGAGGGGGGACGAGTTTTTATTGCTCGCCGGGAGAACCAGGGAGGGGGTGGGGTGGGGGGCAGAACTAAAGACCTTTAGAGACTAGCCTGAAGCCAGACATCCGCCGACACGACTTCTTCAATCCGCGGCCCCAGGGGTTCCGTCCCCTTCCCAGGGGGTGGTTTTCCGACCCGAATGCGTTTTTCATGGTCCCCGGGCCCACTATCACGGGCCCTGGAGGCCGGAATCGATGAAACACCGCCAGATTGGAAAATCTGATCCTCGGATCTCTCTGAATATTCCGACTCCCCCGAAGGTCGCGCCAGAGGCCCGAAGGTACAGCGCCTTGGAAGGTCGGGAGATGAACGCACCACAAGCGGTGGGGGGATCGACCCGAGTTAAATCGCAGGGGTTGAACGCACCCGAGCGGTGGGGTGATCCACCAAAAACGGTGGGAGGAGGAGGAGGAGGAGGAGGAGGAGGAGGAGGAGGAGGAGGAGGGAGGAGGAGGAGGAGGAGGGGGGAGGGGAGGGGGAGGAGGAGAGGGAGGAGGAGGAGGAGGGGAGGAAGGGAGGAGGAGGAGGAGGAGGAGGAGGAGGAGGATGAGGAGGAGGAGGAGGAGGAGGAGGAGGAGGAGGGGGAGGGGGAGGAGGAGGAGGGGCTCCTGCTCCAGGCCAGCGGAGCGGCCGCCCCTGGCCTGCCGCTGCGGGTTGCCGGCGGGCCCCTCCTGCAGGGCGGGGCGGGGGCCGGGGGCGGCCGCGGCGGCGAAGGCTTCCCGCGGCAGGAGGGGCATTCAACGGCGCCAGGAGGAACGAGGCCGGCGACGGCGACGACGACGACGAGCACGCAGGCGGAGAGAGAGAGGGACGAGTAGGAGGCAAGGGATCAACAAGGAGAGGAGGGAGGGCGAAAGAGGGAACAGAACGATGGAGGGACGATCCGTGAGGAATGAGGGATCAGGAGAGACGAGGGAGGACACAGGCCTCCGGCGTCTCGGTTCTCTTGCTGAGGCACGGGCCCCCGACCTCTCGACCGCCTCCTCGGGGCCGGTGTCTCCGCCCGAGTCGTTTCTTAACGGCCCCGAGGCCCAACAGTATGGGCCCCGAGAGGCCGAAGATAGTGAAAAAGCGCCGTCCCGAGAGTCTTTCGGCGGCGAGCAAGGGGGGGAAGTGAGAAGGAGAAGGCCCTGTCGGATGGCGGCGGGAATTTTTCGGGGGTCTGGGTAGATTGGGTCGGAGGATCGCGCCACATCGCCGATCCATCGGTGATGCAGCTCGACCGGGAGGGCCGATTTTCTCAATGCCGGCGTCGCCGATGCACCGCCGACGTCGCCGATGCGTCGCCGATGCATAGTCGATGCATTGCCGATGCATCGGCAATGCGGCGCGATCCTCCGACCCCAGCTACTCCGACTCCATCTAGGAGGTCTCTAAGTAGCGGCTCGTGTAACCGCCGCCGCCCCAGACACGCGAGGCCTTGATTTTCGTCAGCACGGGGTCCCTTGAACCGAAGACGAAAAAACACCAGAAACATAAACTTTTGGCACCGCGCGTATTTCTTGGATCCGCTCTGGGCCCCCCCGTGGCGCCTCCGGCGCCGCCCCTGGCGCGCTCGGCGGGCCAATGAGCGGGGTCCAGCCCAGATCCAAGAAATCCGCGCGGACCGGCAACAGTTTATGTTTCTGCTGTTTTTTGCTGTTCTAGTCACTGCCGCCGCCCCAGACACGCGACGTCCTGATTCTTGTCAGCACGGAGCCCCTGAAGCCCTGGGGCCCCGCAAGGGCACCAGAAGCCCAAAAGCGATGAACAACCTCCCGTCTGGCTTTTGTTCACGACGCGAGCATGTCTGGGGCGGGATATGTTCGCCGCCGCCGCCTCGGCCTTACGACGGCCCGATGCTTTTGTCACCACGGGGTCCCTGGAAGTTCCGACCCTTCTCCTGGGAACGGTTTCTCATCCCGAGTGTCGTTTCGGGAGCGGCCAAGAGGGGGGTGTCCAAGAGGGGGGGGTGCAAATCATGGCCGGCGGCATGTGCGCGGCCCAGCGGGGGGGGGGCCAGGGACGTATTAAAACAAGAAGAGGCGCCATGAAACATGGGGAAATATCATGGCCCCCGCCATGATATCCACCCCCCCTAATCATCACCCCCCTCTTTTCCGCCCCCGATCGTTATTGGACGGCCCTGGGCCCCCGGAATTAGAAGGCCCCCGAGGCCCAGAGCGAGGAGAAGCCTCCCGTCCTGCTTTGTTCACGACGTGATCACGTCTGGGGCGGGAAGGGTCAGAGGAGGAAATGGTACCCATGCTGCTACCCTTCGCTCGTTTGCCTCTTTTTAGGTCTCCTGGAAAGCCCTCGTCGCCACCGCTGGACTCGCCTCGAAATTCTGGTCAGAGCGCGCCCCGGGAGAGGTCCAGGTAGCGGAATTGGAACCTTTCGGTTTCCCCAGAACGTGGCGGGCCTCCTCAGAAGGCTCGGAAGTCCCCGGGGCTTCTGAGAAGTGATCGATGCCCTCCCCGAGGACATAACAGAAACACCTCTCAGAAGGCCAGAGTGCTTCGGAGAAGTCCCGCCGCCATCCGACAGGGCCTTCTCCTTCTCACTTCCCCCCCTCGCTCGCCGCCGAAAGACTCTCGGGACGGCGCTTTTTCACTATCTTCGGCCTCTCGGGGCCCATAATTACTGTTGGGCCTCGGGGCCGTCAAGGAACGACTCGGGAGGAGACACTGGCCCCGAGGAGGCGGTCGAGAGGTCGGGGGCCCGTGCCTCAGCAGGAGGAATCGAGACGCCGGAGGTCTGTGCCCTCCCTCGTCTCTGCTGCGTGCCTCCTGCTCGTCCCTCTCTCTCACCGCCTACGTGCTCGTCGTCGCCGTCGACGCCGTCGCAGGCCTCGTTCTCTCCTTCCTCGATCTCGTCGTAAGCCCTTCTTCCCATTCGCGCCGGGGTTCATCCCTCTCCCTATTTTGACCCCCTCCCTGAGTCTCATGGTGGGGGCGGGGAGGCGTTCGAGCGTCCAAGATGGCCCAAGGGGAAGACATACATGTTCTGCCCTTCGCTTCTAATGGTCTCCCTTGTGATGCCTTAAAGTGGCTCCAAGATGGCCCCAAGACGACCCCAAGAGCGCCCTAGAGGGCCCCAATGGCGCTGCGAGAGGGAGGGGCGACGCTGATCGGCGCCAAAAAGACAAAACAAATAAAAACAGGAATCCCCATAACCCGTAGGGGCGCCCCTACCCCTTTCTGTTGAACGGTGTTGGCCTCTTGGGGGCATCCCTGCGAAGCTGCTGGCCCACAGCGGCTCTAGATAGGCAACCATGGCGTCCAAGATGGTTCAACATGTCCCAAGATGGTTCAAAACATGGCCTCCACCATGCCTCCCAGAGGCCGCAACCCAATGGTTACGGCTCCGATTGCCCACGCAACGGAAGATGCACAGTGGTTCTGCATTCTCACGCTTTCAGTTCCCATGATCTCCCAAAGCCTCAAAATGGCTTCAAGATGGCCCAAGAGAGCGCCCCAATAATGGCGCGTGAGGGCTCCACGACGTCTCCAGCAACGCTCCCAAAAAGGCCCCCAATCAGTGACATCTGCAGCCGAAGATGTCAGCCATTCTCGCCGCCACTTCTCGCCGCCATCAGCAGGCTAATCCGCGCCGGCCACTTCTCTCGTCGATGTCCTTCAAGATGCCCAAAGAGTACCCTGGGAGGGCCCCAAGAAAGCACCAAAGGCGAACAAGATCTCCGACCACTGCGTGCTACTACGCGTCCCTGATCGAGGACATTCGCCTGGGCATCGTTGCCGGATGGGCAGGTGGGATACGCGAAGCGTCAAGAATTAAAATCCTCTGCCGCTCGGTAGCGTATATCTTGCACATTGGCAGTCTATCCAATCTGGCTGGATTGTGACTATCTCATCAGCAAAAAGATCTAAAAAGACAAGGACGCACTACACCACCTTCTAGGGAGCGGCGGTACCGTACAAGTTGGTGCGATGGCGCAGTTCCCAGAACATCGGCATGGCTATGCGCGTGGGGCTGGTTCAAACTTAAACCTGCAACAACGTTTGAACTGGCTGGCGCACATCCACTCCCACGTCATGTGGGGAGGGCCATCACGGACCCTGCAGAATGAACATACGCACTGCCACCGCAAGATCAGAGCGACACTGACGTCCCCCACCTCTCCATGAAACAACGGCCTCGCCTTGTCCTCCTCGCCGTTGAGCATCTTCTCCGGCGCGTCGAAATGCGCAGGCGGATTCCACTTGAGCAGTGGCTGGACGACCACACTGGCGATCGAGGGCTCCTGGTCAACTGCCCCGTCTGCCTCCTGCAGCATTGGCCTGGCGCACGGGCGGGAGGTGCACGCGGGACCCCAGCCGACCGTGCCCTGATCCATCCCGCCGAGCCCTAAGATAGTCGCCTCCCCGTCCACAAAAGCGTCGCAGTGCGCGCGTATCCGCTCGTGAACCCGCGAACAGAGGCCGCCCAGGTGGGCAGAAGATGTCGTGCTGGAAGGCCCCACTGCATCGCCGACGCATCGGTGACTCCGGACAACCGCGCAGCACCATCGATGCATCGGAGATCCAGCGCGATCCTCCGACCCCTATCTACTCTGATTCCATTCGGACGTCTTGGATCTGAAACTCTCTGACTACGTCAAAACGACTACGAAACTCTTGTTTCTTTTGACCCGCTTTCGGCGTCAGGAGCCATCAGTAAACGATCCAGGATACACAGCTTGTTCTCGGTAACTTCCGACCCCGCCACGACAGCGGGCCGCTGAAATAAGGAGCGTTCCTCCAGATTTCGTAATAAAAGGGAGGGGGTCTGGACCCTCCAAGACAAGCCATTTCAGACCTCCCCTGTGGGAGAACCCTCCAAAACATCGTCCCCAGACCCCCCAGGCCCTCCAAGATAGCCTGGAAGAGACCCCCCCCCCGAAATGAGAGCCCCCTCCCTTTATTACGAAATCTGGAGTACATAAGGACCGAAGCCCCGTTCTGGCCCCGCAGACGCCTGCGTGAAACGAGGAGGGCTGGAGGAGCAACAGCGGGCCCCTTCCAAACCCAAGCTGGCCCCTACTTCAGCGTCCTGGCTGCATCTCCGCGCCGAGGACGGCCACAGCCTTTCCTCTCCCAGGGCGTACCCGATTCCTCGCCCCCTCTGGGAGCTCTCCACGGGGGGCCTCGCGGAGGGGTGCCCCGGAGCGCACCTCTGGGCCTCCCGACGCATGCTCGGGCCGCCCCCGGCCAGGGGCACCTGTCCGGCAGCGCCCGGCCGCATCGGGTGCGCCGCAGACCGTCCTCCTATCCTCCTCCTCCTCCTCCTCCTCTCTCCTCCTCCTCCTCCTCCTCCTCCTCCTCCTCCTCCTCCTCCTCCTCCGGGAAGGGAGGGCTTCCCAAAGGGCCCTCCGGCCTTCCGAGAAGCTCCGTCTTCGGGGACGGCTCAGAAGCGCTCGTCAGAAGGCCGGGGGACTTCCGAGCCTTCCGAGAAGGCTCGCCCCTTCTCACTTGCCCCCCGGGCTCGCCGCCGTGTACAAGAAGGACGCGCGATAAGGTTGCAAGGGCCTTGGAAGAACCTGTCGATACTCTGCGAGCGGGGCGCGGCCAGCGAGAGCGGCCAGTGATGGGCCCAACGGGCAAGGATGCAGGGGTACTCTGGATTCCATAACAAACGGGGGGTGGTCCGATTTCAGAGGGGGTTTGACTTGAGCTCTCTTGGAGGGCTCCAGTGGGGTCTGGGCACAAGGATGCCATTTCATGGCTAGTCTGGGGGTCCAAAATGCCTCGCCTGGGAGGGTCGTGACACCCTCCCTTTAATTACACATTTTGGGGTAACCTTGGGAAGGTTGCTCGTCCTTACTCCTTGGGTCGGGCATGCCCTCCGATGGGCGGATTGAAAAATGAGACATAGTCAGAGCATATTTAACAACATCCGAAACTAGTCTAATCATGGTCCACAAACTTTTTCCTTAATTTTCTAAAAACATAATTCCTCCTGTAGAGACGACGACGACCACGACGACGACGACGACGACGACCACGACGACGACGACGACCACGACGACGACGACGACGACCACGACGGCGACGCCCACGAACACATCGACGACGACGAACACGACCACGACCACGACGAACACATCGACGACGACGACGACGAACACATCGACGACGACGACGACCACGACGACGACGACGACGACGAACACTGCAGCCAGCCGTGGCGACGAGAGCCCGCGGCATCGCCCAGGGACTGCTGAGAAACGGCTAGGCAACCGCACGTGAAACCTCCCTCCCTGTCCTCGGCCTCGTTCTCCTCGGGCTCCTCGTGCTTCTCCCCCCCCCCTCCCTCCTCCCCCCTCCCTCCTCCCTCCCTCCTCCCTCCTCCCTCCCTCCCTCCCTCCCTTCTCCCTCCTCCTCGCCTCCTTCCCACTCCCCCGCTCCTCCTCCTCCTCTCCCTTCCCTCCTTCCTCCTTCCTCCTCCCTCCTCCCCCCCCTTCCTTCTCCCTCCTCCTCCTCCTCCTCCTCCTCCTCCACCTCCTCCCCCCTCCCCTCGCCCTCTGCTGGAGGGTGGCGTATTGGAGGCACCTCGACGCCTTCCGGTGCGCCACTCAGGAGTCTGCTGGGGTCTCGTGGACGTCTGCTGGAGGGGGAGAGCACCGCCTCCCTCCCCCGGCGGCGGCGCCGAAGCCGTCTGCGCGCAGCCCGGCCCTCCCCTGGGGAGCGACGGCGGCGGCGGGGGCGAGGGGGTCCGCCGCCGCGGCGGCTTCTGCTGCAGGAGGGAGGAGGGAGGACGGGGGAGGGAGGGGGAGAGGGAGGGAGGGAGGGAGGCAGAGAGGCAGAGAGGGAGGGGGGGAGAGAGGAGGGAGGAGGGAAGGAGGGAGGGGGGGCGAGAGAGAGGAAGGAAGGGAGGGAGGGAGGAGGGGCGGGAGGGAGGGAGGGAGGAGGCGGAGGAGGGTCCCCGATCTCCGCTGCTGCGGTTTCGGCAGGCCACGGCGCTCCAAAGGGCCGGCCGCTCCCCCCAGGGGCAAGGGTAAGGGCTGGGTCGGGTATGTCCTCCCACAGGCGGATTCTGAAGACAGGTCAGAGACAGTAGCACAAAAAAATCCAAGCATGGGCAAAAGACCACGAAACCTCATCCCCATATGATTTTTCAACTAGTCTTGGATCTTTTCATCTTCCTCCTGTAGAGGGATATGCACGACATAAGCCCAGGACAGAAGAGCATCCTTCAAGGCCTTGCCGTCGCTCGAATGTCCATTCCCCGCGCATGTCTCGGTTTCGTGCGTGCCTGTTTTTTAGCAAGATGATCCAGGATGCTCATCGAGGGTACCCGCCGAGGAAAAATTGCACACGTCCGAGCGATGCCATGAGAACGTGAGACGCTCCGCCAGCCCAAACCACACAGAACGTCCAAGGGTGCCCTCCCCAGGATGCACAGGAACATCCAGCAAACACGGAGGACATCAGGGTACTCCCCGAACCGATCTGGATCTTCTACCTCGGTCCGACCCCATTCGTCCTGGGTCCATGTGTGAGGGCCCCCAGGACCCGAGAGTGGCCCCCGAAGGCAGGCTTCAAGGAAAGAGGCCGCTGGTTGCAGAGCAGTCACAGCGCCGGAGATCTGGGGCGGCGACGCGTTCTGCGGCAACTCCTGGTAGCCTCCCGCGACACCTTGCTGGCTCTTGCGAGCCGACACTGCACGCGGATGGGCGCTGACTGCTGCGAGTCGACGCGAAGCGACGCTGCATCGGCGCCTTTCTCATCCACGTCTCTAACCACGTCTCGGTCCCCAGGCAGCAACGGTCCAAGCTTTTCGCAGCCTTCCGAAGAGGAGGAGGAGGAGGAGGGGAGGAGGAGGAGGAGGAGGAAGAGGAGGAGGAGGAGGAGGAGGGGAGGAGGCTCTCTAATGCACCCGAGGGGCGACATGTCGAGGACACGAAATGCTCCCATGAGTTGCGGCAGGGCCTGGGGCAGCAGCACCTCCTTCCCAAACGCGGGAGGCCCTCCGCGGGCCGAGGGGAACACTGGAAGGGGCCCTCCCCCAGGAGGCGCAGGAGCAGCCACCACGCACGAAGAACATGACGGAGCCCTTCGGACGGTCTCCCTCCGGGGCCGTAGGGGACTCGAGGAGGGGAGGAAGAGGAGAAGGAGGAGGAGGAGGAGGAGGACGAGGAGGACGAGG